AAGAGCTCTGTTGTATTGAGTACTGATAAGGCACCAGAGGAATATATCTTCACACGTAATTTTAACTTCAAAAGCACACTTTGTATTACTATCAACACTGCTATAGTGTTATTCCCAATTGATAACTGAAAAAAAAAAGCAATATCTGATTGATATTATTCCCAATAAGTCTTTATGACTATAAAACTAAAGTAAATTTCTCTTTATAACTGTAATAAAGGGTGTATTTAAGTGAACAGGTACTATTAAAATAAGTTTATGATGATAAACAAAATAATAATGGCGTAAATGATAAAGAAAAAAAAAAAGGGGGAACAACAGTCCCAAAACCCTCTCAAAGTATATATAACAATGTACTAGAACTTTTACAATGGTCAACAGCCTCAAAACCAATCAAATCCGCCCAAAATTCCCTAAAAACCCTATGATGACGCAATGTAATGGTTTTGTTACTAATAAATGATGTAATTTTCACAGCTAAAAGTGATCAATGACGCAATAATATGATGTACAGCACTTCTTATGATGAATACAGGTGATTTTTTCCTTGTAAACTAGCTGAAAACCAATTTTTGAGATTACGAATTTTTTTCAGATGTGCTCCAATTTTTGATTACTAAAGTGCATCTTGTAGCCCACGTGTTACTGATCATTTCTGACACCTACATGACCTACTTCTGATGAGTGATGAGTAAGATATTGAGTTGTGAAGTTAAGGTTTTTAGTGTTACATATGACTTGTGACTGTAAATTCGAGATTCACACCAATTCTTTATTTGCCTTATAACTTTTTACACACACCTCCGTTACTAATGATTTAAAGTTTGTACATTATGTAATCCACTCTTCTGCGTTGAATGAGCCATCTACCAACCTATTCTGACGTCATTTGACATATGTAATTAGCTGAAAACCTCCATTTTCCACGAATTTCACCCATTTTCTTCACTTTTCACAGCTGCTACTCCCTTTTTCTTGCTCATGTAATATGACATCATCATCTATAGCCTTAACAATCCCGGAAAATCCTCTTGGCAACCTTAAATTCCATCACTACCACTATTACACAACCAAACTACACGTGTACCTCTTGTTTACCAACTTCGAAAAAGTGCTTTTCTCCTAATAACTTCTGTTTCTACTTATCAACCTTGAAGATTAAAATTGTCATAGTATCATATAATGTTGTTCTTTCATATTCTAACCTCATAATACCCATAACTTTATTTTTACTAACCTAAAAACCATTTTCCAACCTTTATACCTATAATTTCGAATTTTTCTTATGTTTTTCTTTCTTTCTTTTTGTAATAAATTTGTAAGTAAACTATAATGATCTTAATATATAATGTGAAATACAATGATGTAATGTTGACCTAATGACCAATACATAAGCCTACAAGAGCTTCAATTGATCAAAAACCTCCATTTCGAATTTTCTTTCCTGCTGAATCCTGCTAATAAACTGGTAAACTGGTAATTGTGAATTTTTTAATTGATCCCATAAATTGATCACCACAACGGACGAACAACTACAAGAACTTTCAAAATCATCAAAGAGAGCCAAGTCATCAAGGTTAGTCAATGTCTTAGTTCCTCATATCTCGGTATCATCGGGGAGCAAGAAGATCTCTTGCTTTGACATTGACGGTATCTACCAAGAATCTAGATCTGTAACCCCCCCCTCAGATGACGAGACCGGGCCACCAGCGAGTCTCACCCCCCCTTTTGACACGGACAAACGACTACAAGTACTTTCGAAATCATCAAAGAGAACCGAGTCATCAAGGTTTGTCAATGTCTTGATTCCCCATCTCTCGGTATCATCGGGGAACCAAACCGCACGCATTAAATCGGCCGCTCTCATGCCCAAACCGACCAGCGCCGCGCAATTGTCTCAAACAAGTGAAACCAAAAAACAACTTCAGATCGAAGGACCACAATACTCACCTGAAGAACTCAGTGTGACCCATTCAAAAGCATGGGATGCATTCATCTTTTCTTGGTGTAATAAAAATATTGTGATTTTAAATCCTCATCCATATATTTCTATGATAGGTCAATTCACTCCGGCCAACTTTTTACAAGACTTCAAAAATAATACAAGTTTCATCAGTGGGAAAACCGGGGCAACGAGCCATGCCAGTGTATCTACTGTAGACGGAGCAAGTAAACAACTTCAAATCGAAGGACCCCTTTATCCAGCAAGTAAAGCCACCAACTCGTGCTCTGGAAGTGGTCCAGCTTCTCTTGTGACCTTCAAACCTCCCAAACAACAACTCTCAATTGAAATATTCACTGCTTCCAACTCTTTACAAGACGTCAACGATATTTCAACACCTCTCAGTGGGCAAACGTGTTCGACTACCCACGATGAGGCATCAATTGATGACGAGGCAGTCCAAATGTGAGTGAAAGAAAGAATATGAGCACGTCATCTTGAACTAACATTGCTTTGTATTACCAGTGCTGATGAACTGAGAGGCGGACAACTCAAGACACATACTCCTTCCTTGACCGAAGCCTCTCTATCATCTTCGCGCCAATCCGCAGTGTCTTGTTGACCGCAACCCCTTACCAAAGGTTCTTTTTGGGTAAACAAAATCGACATCTACGAAAGCATATCTGTGGAGAAAAACAACATCCAGCCCGCTGAACTCGTGGAAATTCATAAGGCCACACAGGTCTTATTGGAGACGTTGATCTGAGGATCTTGTATCAATTTCAATCCCGACGAAAACTTGACTCATCCTGTCAGCTTCAGTACCGCAAACCAACCAGGCATTCGACAGTGGTGTGAACGACCAGAAAGTAAGCCGGTATCATCTGGGAGTTCCTTGCATCTGTAAACACTAACGAGCTGCCATGCATCTTAGATCGAGAACTTTTCACGCCAAGTCTGGAAACCCTTGGTATAAGCCCAACACTTTCAACTTCGACGCCATTGCACAATCGGACCCTCCGGAATCAATCTCTCGACATGAGCGTTTCCTCTGGAATGCCCTCAAGAATTTTGCCATGCCTACCCCCACCTTCATTGAGCGTGGAATGCACTACGTCTTGGCTGCCCTTGTCTTGATTGGATCAGACGCTGAAAAGGCGCATTTCTCTCAGGAGCTTCCCGATGTCTCACCCATATCTCGCGGGGCTCGCACTGCCTATTCATGCTGGCACCATTACAAGAAACTTTCATCTCTCCGATGGGCGAAGATTGTTGCGAAGAAAAGTGAAGCTGCCGCTGATGGCTGCATTGAAGATCTTGATAGATTAATTGCAATTATCTACACAATGGTAGAGACCTTTGCTAGTATATGGGCATCTACAACTCTCAAAGCTGACATTGAAGCAACCGAACAATCGATCAAGAAAAGTCGATCCACCAAAGAGATTGATCGATTGACTTCAGGCTTGGAACAGCTGAAGAAAACTCGCAGCCAAATCAAGGTTGAATATACCAACCTACCGGCCCTTGTTGGTTTTCTCTGTTCCGGTGTCAAGGGTTTGATGATATATCCTACTGATGGAAGAGTATTCAGTCCTTTGCGAGCGGTTAACTTTTTACTTGTGACAAGCCACTTAGCCCAATCTGATCAATCGATCTCGGAGCCAATTTGGAAAAGGACGCAATCATATATCGTCGACTTTTTGAAAGCTGTCATCCTACCAACCAAAGAATGGGTTCCACGAGAATTGAATCGTTACCACCTGGCCAAGGCTTTATTCCTTGATTTCTCGGACTATTGTATTTCACGAAACATGACGACAATCTACATCCCCAAGTGTAGAAACTATAAAGTAAATGACAAAACGTATATGTGATTGTAATTTTGTTTCTTTCTTCCGTCCTTGATTCTTGTTGTTCTTTCTGCTGGGAAATGAAACGAACCAACGTTCAAAATTTGTACACACCTCTGTTGGGAAATCCGCAATGTTGTTGACCTTCTATCCTGTGTATGTCTTGCCTGAGCCAAGTTCAGTGTAGATTTTTGGTAAGGAATTGTCGCGGTTGTCGACAACCGTGACCCCCTGAAGGTCTATGTTGCATGTGCCGTCGTGCCTTCTAGAGACTTGGTGTCTCATCAAGGTTCATTGCATTTTTCGCACATACTCAAAACGGCCTTCTCACTCAGTATCACAACTTTTGAACAAATTGCATGAACTCGGCATGGCCAGTTCCAATAATCTAAATGAAGAGGGCATCGTCAAAGCTTCCCGCGAAGCAATGGATGGTCCGTAACAAATTTGTAGTCCTTTTGGAGCAAACTTTAGCATTAGCCGTAAATCAATATACCTTACTTTCAATCACAGAAAGGAGTGTACTCATTGTACATCTTTGAGATTTAGACTGTCGTATGCGAATTGCGTAGAGAAGCCGAAGATTGGTCTGCTATAACTCGGGTTTCTGATGATATTGACGGTGGAATGCATTCAAGATATCTTTTGAATTTTTTGCTATGATAAAATTCCAATATTTCTTCATTTTGATTCAGAGGCATATTATTCAAGATGTTGATTCTGAACGATATCATGAACGCTACTTTTTCATCCTAGCTTGAACCTGCAGAGGTTTGATATGTTTACAAAGACATATTTTTATTTATTTGTACTACATATTGTATTCCAGAGTTCCTCTTCCCTTGTCGCAGGTTGGCTTGAGCCTTCTTCAAATAAACATTGCCACTTCAAACCTCAACCGTTCTGGGCTTGAAAAACAGAAGATGAATGTAGCTATCAAACAATACATTTTAAGACTCAGTGGCAGAGCCATTTGAACCATCAACACAAATGTTGAGAATTTTGAAATCACCCAACAAACTGACTTTAATTACCACAAAACACATCTTGTTTCTTTAAATACTACTTTACAATCGATAAATCTGACAATTTCACATCACACACATTTTTTCTGGATATACTTTCAAACTTTATTTTGCAACCACTTTCCTTTTGCTGATATACTTCATTTTGTACTCATTTTAGTAAGCACATCGAATTCTTGACTTCAAGCTTCTTGACTTTTTTCTTACCTAGCGGATTTGTATTCTAGCTATGTTTGATCTGTTTTTGATGACATCACAACGGAGGAATAGAGAGATATTGTTCTTCATCAGTAAAGTTACACCTTGCAAAAGAGTTGAGGCTACAGAAACTGAAAAAGATTTCTCAAGATGTTCATCACAATGCAAGCTTACCTCTACAATCAATTTCAAGATCCAAGACTATCACCCGGCCCAACAGCAACT